AGTGTGGAGATCAAGACTAGTGTCCTTGTGTCTTCACAGAACAGTCATCACAAACAGCACAAGACATCTTAACTGCTTTCATTGTGTTCACCAGCCTATGAACTGTGAAGGGGACATGAAGGGAAACAACAGAGAAAATTCAAAAGCATCTGAAGGAAGCTGCAGGTAGGAAGGCAGCATACATGGTAACTCAAGTTGAACTGCACTATGCATTTCCAGGGTCTAGTGTTGAGAAAACTAGGCTGAGGACTATAATTCAACACATACAATCCCTAGCCAAATGGGGATTAGTGATATTTAAAGCATAATGGGTAGCAGACAATATTTCTGAGGTCTGAGGATCAATATCCACGCCTTTACACTTGGGAAGTAATAATGGGTGATACTCTATGTGAGGAATCACGGAGTCAATTATATGTTGAATCTTTTCTTGGACCTTGGCTTCTCTAACCATGTCTGTTGGGCCTCCATCAGAAACATGAATGGGAACTACCTTGTTCCAGCATGCTGGCTTTCCTGGAGCAGCTCGGCAGGAGGCTGCAGCGTATTTATAATCGCCAAGCACCTGGGGATTAATAGACCAATCTCCTCCAACACTGCCAGAAAAAGTTCTTAAGGGTATGGCAGTACAATAAGTAAGGCCATTATGTGTGCATTCTTGAAATATGCTGTAGCACATAGCATTCATTTGGTTCACAGAATTGCATCCTACTGGACATAGTCCTGGTTGTCCATTGACCTTAGGAATGATTTTAGGTTTATCAACGCATACCCAGTTTTGATCAAAGCCTCCATTACTAGCAGGTACTATAGTTAGATAGGCCATTTTATTTCCACAGTCAGTGTGTCTAGTGTAAGTGCTACTTGCGTGTATAACACCAGCAATTCCTCCTCTGCATTCGCATGGAGCTCCAACTAATGCTTTCATCCACTCGTTTGGGCTGGGGGGGCACCCTGAATCCTTCTTCTAAAAAGGGAGTCAATAGGAGGACAGCCCCGAATATGACATGGATCTTCATTTCTGGAAAACTGAAAGGCATAAAATTCTCAGGAGGGGAAGTTCCTCCCGGAATGAGTTATGTAATCATCTATTTGTTTAACTAATCTTTCTGGAAGTCATCTGGCAGATTTCATTTCTTTGGAGTATATGCATACTGAACCTCGTCTCCATATTGGGACTGGATCAGGTCCATGCCAAGTGTTGTCTTTCCACATGACTGTGTCAAAGGTTTTCTGTGTATCAGAGTGTCAAAACCATGTGGCAGCAGATTTTCCATCATTATCCAAATTTTTAAAATTAACAATGAAAAGAGCATGTGTCAGAATATTCCTTGGCATGCCTTTGGTGGGGTACCAAGTTCCCCCTTTTAATTTATTAATAGTTAGCTTTAGTGTAAGGTTAACTCTTTCTGCTATACCTTGTCCTTGAGGATTATATGGAATTCCAGTGACATGGTTAATAACTAATTGTTTGCAGAAGGTGTTAAAATTGGCACTGGTGTATCCAGGTCCATTATCAGTCTTGATTTGTTGAGGAGTGCCCATGACAGAAAATGCAGCTAACAAATAGCTGATTACATGTTTAGTGGTTTCTCCAGTTTGAAGAGAGGCAAAGATAAACCACTACGTGTATCTATTTTAACATGAATATATTTAAGATGTCCAAATTCTGTAAGATGGGTAACATCCATTTGCCAGAGAGCATTGGACACAAGTCCCCGAGGATTAACTCCCAAATGGGGTACAGGTAAATATTGAATGCATTCTGAACAGTTTTTTTTTACTATGTGTCTACCTTGTTGTCTGGTAATATGATACATATGGCATAAAGTATGGGCATTAAGGTGATGTAATGAATGTCCTTTATGTGCTGCTTCAATGCTTGTGTCCTGGACGGAATTAGCAGGCAGTGCCAGATGACAACAGATTGCTTGGTCTGCCAAATGATTGCCCCTGGACAAGGGTCCGTGGAGACCTGAATGAGCACAAAGGTGCCCCATAGAGAAAGGAAACTTTCTGACTCTTATGAGAGAAGTTAGTTGTCTAAATAAATTACTCATCTCAGAGATATTCTTAATTTGACCTATAGTCTCTAAAAGTGATACTGAATGAGCAACATAGGCACTGCCAGTATAAATGTTAAGTGATTGATTTGGAAAAGCAGTAAAGGCAGCTATGACAGCATATAATTCTGTTAGTTGGGCAGATGAGCCCCCAGTTTGAAAACTAGTAACCTCACCATTCTAGGCATAGACAGCTATTCCCATGGAGGAGCCATCAGTAAACACAGTTAATGCACCTGGTATAGGATCTAGGAGAGTATTTTTTGGAAAAATAAATTCTCGACGATTGGCAAAATCAATTAGCTTATTAGGGGGATAATGGTTATATATGTCTCCTATGTAATTGGCCAAGGCCATGGGCCAGCTTTCTGTTGTTTGCATAAGCCAATCAACTTACTCCTTGGTATAAGGTTGAATAATAAGGTTTGGCTCACAGCCAAAATAAGACTTGGCTTGCTTTCTACCTATCAGACTAATATTTGAGGCCAATTGAAAATAGGGATTAACACCCTTTTTGGACTGATTGGTAAATGGACCCATAATATGAGAGCAGTTTACCAAAAAACTGAAGTTGGAGACTGAGCTGTTTTGCAAATAATAAACCACAAGGGGCAAATGTAATCAAGAAAAGTAACTGAGATTGTATGGCTTGTTCTACCAAAGTTATTGTTTTGCGGCCTTCAGGTGAAAGTTGATGAGGTGAGGTGGGATCTGAATTACCAGGGAGAATGCCATAAAGGGGCTTTAATTTATCTTTGCTAATTTTTAAATAAGGTAGTAGTCAATATCTCCCAACAATTTTTGAAAATCATTAAGGGTATGAAGTCTATCTAATATCAAAGTAATTTTTGAGATGAAATTTTATCTTCAAACATTTGAAAGCCTAAATAAGTAAAGGGATCTTGGAGTTGTACTTTTTCTGGTGCTGTCTGTAATCCCCTTTTTGTTGGAGCAACACATAACTCTTTATAACAAAATAACACTTCTTACATTTTTTATCCTGCTAAAAGGATATCATCCATCTAGTGTATAATATACATCTGTGGCCATGAGTCCCCAACTGCTTGGATAGCAGATTGGCAAAGTGTGGGACTATTAGCCATGCCTTGGGCGAGAACACGCCATTGATACCATTGATACTGGTGCATAGGTACTTGAAAATTTGGAGAAGGAAGACTAAAGGAAAAGCATTTTTGATCATCTGGATGTAAGGGTATAGTAAAAAAGCAATCTTTGAGTTTTGTGGGCAGTATTTTGAAAAATGGCCTGACTCGCCGAAGCTAAAACATTTGCTTATGTCCTGATTAGACAAGAACTGTCTAACAGTAGTGCCTTGCATAGCAGCTGCCATGGCGAGTCCTTGCTGATAAACTGCACCTATCTCAGCACAGAGGTGAATGTAGCCAGGAAGGTCTGTTTTTATACGATATGGTCGAATAGCTGCTTGCCAGAGAATTAGCATTTTCAAAAGCCAATTGTTGCGGTGGACAAATTCTGAAAAAGGCTCATCAGGCCCTTGTTTGATTTTAGTAAGGGAAGAGCTCATGTCCCCTTTAGCAGGTAGTCTCTTCCAGGCTTTGGTGGCAGCTGTTTGAATTTGGGCAAATAGTCCAGGTTCATATTGCATTTGAACATCCTCTGCCTCATAATTTCTTTCACCCATTAACATATCTGCATTCCAGTTATTGCCTGCTTGGGCATTTCTTTTTGCAGTTTCTTTACAAGCTTCTGCAAATTCTGACTTCCATAAAAGATAATCTCCCCCTGCCAAAGTTGCTCTAGTTAAAGTATACCAGTCGGAGGGAGTAAGCCAATTGTTTTCCATAGATTCTATGATGGCAGTGGTATAAGGAGCCTTAGCCCCATATTGAGAGACTGCAGTTTTGACTTCTTTGATTACATTGAAATCAAAACCCGCATGATGTCTCCAGGCAGTGCCTTGTGCATCTGTTGTCTTGGTTACTGGAAAAGCAGTAATATTCTCTGGTTCTGTCTGATGTTGGTGGGTAAGAGGGATTTTAAAGGCAGCCTCCCTGGGAGGTAGCTTGGCAACACCTTTCTGAGAAGTGTTGGTGGACTTGCCTGTTTTCAAACCCTCAGTCAGGTCTTGATGTTCTGTTTCTAATCGAATCTGCTCTTTAAGATATTGAATTTTGTCTGGTAGCTCTTTTTGAGGGTTTAAAACTGGGCAAGCCAGAGAGGGGACTGTTGGAGGAGGCATATAAGGTGGAGGCTGATATTCTGCTAATGGAGGTCAGTCTTGATCATGATATTTAGCTACCTCTTCCTCCAAATCCTCCCACTCTGAGTCACTAAGACTATGTTCCATAGGCCGTTGATTTTTGGATAATTTTTTAAGTGAGGGATATATCTTTTTAACTTTGGGTCTGGCTCCCTCATCCTTTTTAGGTCGTGGTTTAGGTTGGGGTATCTTTTCAATGATCTTATCCTGGGTTTGTGGGCTACTCTTTTGAATCTCTTCTGAGTCACTATCAAATGACATAAGGTCCTGCTCTTCACTAGGCTGTTCTCCTTTTTTTTTATTTCAGTAGGTTTTAAGCATGTCTCTCCTTCTTTTATTATATTTGCTACATAAGGGTCATGCTGTTTCTGGGAAATAATTTCATTAATTAGATTCCAAAATGAAAATGCTGTAATAGGAATTTTTTCAGGGCCAAAAGTTTTATAGTAATCCTTTAAAGCATCTCTTACTCTCTTCTTTTTTTCATCTATGGTACCTTCAGTGGGGAACCAGGGACAAACTTCCTTAATAAAGGCAAAAAACTTTAATAAATCGTATGTTTTAAGCCTAATCCCTCACACCTTAAGTGCCTTCTTGAGGCCTTCAACAAACAATTCATGTTGACTCATTTCTTGTCCCATATCGTCGCTCACTTACCAAGGTCTTTGTTGCTGCGGTAGGCTCCTGTCTTGCAACTACTTCTGTTTCTTTTCTTTTTGATATGGCCGGCTCTCCTCAGTGACGTTCTTCATCGAAGCCCTCATACCTGGGTCTCCACATTGGGCACCACTTGCCCCGGCCTGCGGGATCAGCCTACAGGGACCCTAGGGGAGGGAGTGAGAATGGGGGGACAAGAGACTGGAGAGACTGAGACAAGACAGGATTCTGATCAAGTCTCATTTATTGAAAGTACCAACAGGGTAAGGCAGGTAGCAGAAGGGCGGGGGAGCAGTTTTCCTTGGCAGGGTATGTTCCAAGGACACAAGTCTGCAGCTGGGGGAGTCTGGAGTGCAGGCCAGGTGGCAGAAGGATGGGAGAGCCTGGACTGCAGGCCTTGAAAAATATGCTGTACAGGAAGACAAGCAGGCACAGAGAAATAGAAACTTAACTAAGTGTTAGTCTCTAAGAATACAGTATGCATATTAAGATGGCTTCTATTATGCTATCTTTATTTAGGTCCCTCCACAGAGATCTGCCTGCCTCTGCCTCCCGAGTGCTGGGATTAAAGGTGTGTGCCACCAACACCCAGTGTCCTTCACTACTATTGCCTCTCCCTCTTCATAGGGTAGTCTTTGTGCCTAGAATATGTGTACAAATCATGCAGACTGTGACAAATGCCCACTTTTCTGCCATGAGTCAGATTAATTTCAGTACAAATGTCTGGCAGAAGATGCCAACATGGACCAGCTCTCAATAGAATCATGGGGTGCTCAGTCTCTGTGTACCCTTGGACAGATATGGTCTTTGTCTTCTTCATGGGGTAGGTATTTCTCTCATCTCTACCAGAGGTTTCCACACTTCCATGCTGGATCTGGGAGCCTTTCCAGAGAAATACCCAATGAGATGTGGTCTTAGGGTCTTATGTCATAAAAGCAGAATGTTGTCTCTCCTACTTATTTTCTAAGCCCAAACATAGCCCAAGCCTTAACTCCCTGAGAAACTCTTACTTTTTGCCATTTGCTCTTTTTTTGTTTTTTTTTTGTTTTTTTGTTTTTGTTTTTTTTGAGACAGGGTTTGTCTGTATTGCTTTGGAGGCTATCCTGGAACTAGCTCTGTAGACCAGTGGTCGTTTGCTCTTTTGTTTGCAAGGATCTAGTTGTTTTTGAGACATGTCTATGTATCCCTATGTATTGGCTGGTTTTGTGTGTTCACTTGGCTAGAGTCATGAGAGAGGAAGGAGGTTCAGTTGAAGAAATGCCTCCATGAGATCCAGCTGTAAGGCATTTTCTCACTTAGTGATCAATGGAGGAGGGCTCAGCCCATGGTGGGTGGTGCCACCCCTGGGCAGGTGATCCTGGGTTCTATAGGAAAGCAGGCTGAGTAAGCCATGGGAAGCAAGCCAGTAATCAGCACCCCTCCATGGCCTCAGCATTAATCAGCTCCTGCCTCCAGGACCCTGTCCTGCTTGAGTTCCTGTCCTGACTTCCTTTAGTGATAATAATGTGGAAGTGTAAGCTGAGTAAACCTTTCCTCCCAAACTTGCTTTTTTTTGGTTTTTACGAGACAGGGTTTCTCTGTATTGTTTTTGGAGGCTGTCAGTCCAGCCTGGCCTCAAACTCACAGAGATCCACCTGCCTCTGCCTCCCGAGTGCTGGGATTAAAGGCGTGTGCCACCACCGCCCGACCCAAACTTGCTTTTTTAAAAAATTTATTTAACTTCATTTTATGTGTTGGTGTGAAGGTATCAGAGATCCCCTGGAACTGAAGTTACAGACAGTTGTGAGCTGCCATGTGGGTGCTGGGAATTGAACTCGGGTCCTCTGGAAGAACAGCCAGTTCTCTTAACTGCTGAGCCATCTCTCCAGGGCCCCAGCTTGCTTTTTGTTCATGGTGATTTGTTGCAGGATTGAAACCCTAACTAAGACACTCTAGCTGGTCTGGAACATGCTGTGCAGGCCCAGATTGCCTCAGACTCAGAGATCTACCTGCCCCTCTGTCTGACTCAGTGCCATATTAAAGGTGTGTGCCTCAAGCCTGGCTCAAGGAGCTAGGTTTTGTTTGTTTATCAAGACAGGGTTTCTCTGTGTAGCCCTATCTGTCCTGGAACTTGCTCTGTAGACCAGAGTAGCCACAAACTCAGAGATCCAACTGCTTCTGCCTCCCAAGTGCTAGGATTAAAGGCGTGCGCTACCACCCTCTACCAGGAGCTAGTTTTTTTTTTAGGGAAGCTGTAGAAATGTTTGTGAATGTTTCCCTGTCTATTATTCAATTAGCCACCTCAATGTTGCTACTAACCCACCCTAATTGACTGGGCTTTATGACAGACAATGTTCCATGTTCAAGAAACTACTATAAATGGCTGAGAGGCCCCAACATGAATTCCCTTGAAAAGAGTATAATAAAGGTATACTGAACTATTGATAGGCTATGTAAAGAACATGGTGTATCTCCAATCAAGCAAAAACAAAAACACTTTTTACCAAAAAATAATTCTTCTAAAACAGACTTACAAAACCATACCCAATGTATCAAACACACCTTCTGGGTAGTGTTCCTCCACAGTGATAATTCGGCCAGATGTAGCTTTTGCATTAGAAATGACAGTGTCCAGAAGTTTAATGGTAAATAAGTCAATGACATGGATAGAGACATTTGGGGAATAGTAATATCAGCTTAGTATAAGAAGCAGACTCAGAATAAGGGATAGTTAGAGGTTAAAATGAAAAGATCAGTCCAGGTATTTCACATAGCTGACATTCTGCCTCTTCCCAGCTTGTAACGTCAATGTTTATGCAATCAACTGACCTTCTTTAGAGAGCTCATCAGCAGCCAGCAGGACTTCATGCAGAGTGACTCCTGCTCCAATAATTGTGACCTTGTCATTGTCACTGTGGTGGACAACCTGGTATAGCACCAAAAAAATAAAATGTGGTTATTGAAAGATCCATCTCAAAGACAAATTGTTCCTGACCTAACACTAACAAATGTATTAATTAATTCACCTACAAGCCAGGTACAGTGATACACACTTGCATTCCCAGTAACGTAGGAACCAGAGGCAGGAAGATTTCAAGCTTAAGGACAACATGAGAAATTTGGTGAGAACTTACTCAAGATAAAACTTTAAGAAAGGGCTGACAAATATATAGGCCAGATAGCTTGACTGATAAAGGTGTTGATCACCAAGCCTGATGACCTGAGTTTTATTCATTGGAACCACATAGTGGGAGGAAGAGAACCAACCACACCTCAGGGTTGTCCTCTGACCTCTACACCTGCATGCAGTGGTACATCTGCCACACACAAACATACAATTGATAAGCACAAATGCAAAAAGTCTGGCAATGTACTCAGAGATAGAGTATTTGCCTAACATGCATAAGGACCTAGATTCAATTTCTAGCAGCAAAACCAAACCCTTCTTTTATAAAAGGAATCAATAAAGTTGGGTGTGCTGCCACATATCTATAATCTCCTGCACCTAGGAAGGTAAGACAGGCGGTTTCCAAGTTTGAGGCCAGTCTGTGGTACAAAATGAGATATTGTCTCAAAACAAAAAAATCATCAAAAGATATTCCATTTTGAAAGAAGTACAGATCCACGAGGCAAAGATCACAACAGATTTAGTAAAGGAAAAGCAACCAAAACACAAGCAAGGGTCAGAATGTCTCTCTTTATGTAATGGATATTAGACAACACAGGAAAACTTATGCCCTTACCTTCGCCTGTCCAATCTGAAGTGTTTCTTGAGTAGTGTAAATAATTGCAGTTTCTGCTTGGCTGGTACGAATGAAGCACAGTTCCTGTGGCATAAGTGCAAACCAGAACTACAATTAAGAAAATCAAACCGCAACAGATAGAGATCATTACAGAAAACCACAACCAATCAACATGCAGGGCTATGGAGCCTAGTCCTAATGGATACATCTATAAAACACTTTCAAATGTAAGGTTCAGGGAACTTTGAGGAAGAGGGGGTATAAAGACTGTAAGAGCCAGAGGAACAGAGAGTGTGCCATGAGACTGTGTCACAAACTATACTCATAAAGTCTTACCAACATGACTGTCGAAACATCAAGTGAACAAGGACAGCTATAGATAAGTCAACATGGATGGGGGTGCTAAAGCCCATGAGGCCTCAACTCTACACAAAGAACTACAGGTAACTAAAAAATGCAGAAAGTGGGATAAATAGTCTTCCTCAGGGAGGAGCACACCAAATGGCCAATCCTGAAAACATAAATATACAGTATTACACAGACTGAGCAGGTTATATTTAGGAATATATATGGTACACGGACAACCACCACCACCACCAACAACAACAACAGAAATTAATGAAAAAAGAGGCTGTAAACTTGAAAGAGAGCAAGGAGGGGTATATGGGATGATTTGGAGGGAGGGAAAGAGAAGGAAGAAATGTTTTCTCAAAAAATAAAGAAACAAGAAAACCAAACCATAAATTTTCAAGTAATAAGTCAAACAGTAGGAAATAGGAGTGAACAGTTCTTCATACTAACAACAAAATGCATACTCTGGAGTGAGGGAGAAGCTCAACTACCAGTGAACAGGTTAACATCTGATTTTGCTACTGAGACAGGAATATCTCAAGCACGACCCTAGTGAATATCCTCAGTGATAAATTTTCCATGTTGTCCCATTTTTTTTGATTTGGTAAGATGTCTAAGATATGCACTGACTTTTCCTATCCTCATGGAACAAAAACTCAGGGTAGGGGCACTGACTCATGGTGACAAGAAAGCCCAAAACACATTAAAAATTAATTTCATCATAATATAGTTTGTAATTATTCATTTTAAGAAAGACTTTAAATATGTGAATATGAAATGACTCAACCATTTCCAATGAGAAGTTGTAAATATAACTATTGCCAACTTGAATGCACACATTTTCAAGTTCAAGTGCTAGGATTAAAGGTGTGCATCAACACACCTGGCTCCCTGTCCAGTTTTTATGTGAGTTCTAGAGATCTGAATTCTGGTACTCACACTTGTGTAGCAAGGTCTTTATCCACTGAGCCACCTCTTTAGTCCTATGCTAAGCTTTTCATGTTTTACAATTCCAGTGCATTCATGTGCACAGTCACCTGTTGTTAGGGGCTCATGCATCCTAGCTTAAAACTATCAATATAGCTGAAGGTGAACTTGAAATTTTGACCTTCGGGCTTCATCTCCTGAATGCTAAGATTGTAAATGTGTACTAGCTCGACCAGTTTATATAGTGCAAGGGATCAAACCCATGATCTCATGCATGCTAGGTAAATATGCAGACAATCTCAGCATCTAGTTTCAAATCTTAAATTTTATGCTTGGAAAACAAACAAAACTCTCATCAGTTCAAAACTTGTAGTAGAGTCCACAGCATTTTCTGATTTGGCATCCTTTAAATATACCTCAGTATTGGCTGTCAAATAAACAGCATGCTCTGTGGAGATGGCATCACTTGGATAGAAAACACTACAGTTGGGACTTGCTCTGAACATGGCCAAGTCTTCCAGGGCTATGTGACAGGGGTTGTCATCACCTGAGAAAGCCGCAGACCAACAAAAACATGAACACAACCCTACTAGGAACCCATCCTCAACTCCTTCCATCATTTTTGAAAAGCAGCTACTCTTACTGCTCCAGAGCATCCTGTACTACAGCAAAGCCCTCTATGGTTCAATACTTGCTATAATTTACATTGAGCTTTTACATAACCATCTTTCTTGAAAGCTCACTAAAATATTCCAGGTTAGTCTAGAAAATGATCTTTTTTCCTTTTCTTTTTTATTTAATTTTTCATTTTACATACCAACCCCAGTTCCTCCTCCTTCCCCTTCTCTACCCCCCTGCCTTCCTCCCTCCCACACCCCATCTACTCCTCAAAGGGGGTAAGGCCTCCCTTGGGGAGTCCACAAAGTCTGGCATACCAAGTTGAGTCAGGACCAAGTCCATCCCCGCTGTATCAAGGCTGAGCAAGGCTTCCTGCCATAGGGAATGGGCTCCAAAAAGCCAGTTCGTACCCCTGGGATAGGTCCTGGTGCCACTGCCAGCCCCCCAACAGATCAAGCCATGTAACTGTCACCCACACAAATGATCTTTCAGGTCAGTGTTCAATTTGCTGGTCACACAATAAAGCTTTTCAAAAATAAATCCCTTTTATGAACAGTAAGAGAATGCAAGGCCTAAACAAAGGTATCAACATGAACATGTTCAGAATGCATACCAATGGATACCCCACAATGGGAACCAATAAGGTTGATGTTATTTGAGAGATGGCTCCCATATATATCTGATGAAATGCTCAGGAGAAAAAGGCAGTGAAAGTGCAAACTAAAGCAATGGTCAAGTCACAGGTGGCACATTCCAGAGTCACATTCACCTAAAACACAAAGAACAGGAAGTAGAACATCCCTAGATTTTATTCTCTCCCCCATTAAACCACAGAGAGTACATGATGTAACTCCTACTCTGCTCATGTTTAAATATCCTGCAGTCCTAGCATGTCTCTTTTCTATGCTCTTCTTGGAACTGAGGCAGGTGGTATACTTAACCTCTCACCTCCTAGAGATCAAGTTAAGAAATGGAGTGTTGCCACGACCACCTCGACCAGCAAGGAAGACGCAACTCAGGAATCCTTCTCACAAGCAGTTTATTCAGGACCTTAATGAACAATGTGGAGGCAGCCGCAGGAGAAATCCCTCCTGCTCCCTAAATAGCCGAGGCCAGCCAACCCTGAGCAGCCACATGTGCGCAAGCCATAGGCTCACCAGCATGCATAAGCAATCTGATGACGATGGTGTGACCCCGGCGGGATAGGAACACACCAAATAAGGAGTTGTTTGTTACCGAGAGCACTCACCATCGGGATGGTGGAAGGCAGAAGCCGGCACCATCTTCGCAGCTCTCCACAGAGTGTTAGCCGGGCATTGGTGGCATACCAACTCAGCACTCGGGAGGCAGAGGCAGGTGGATCTCTGTGAGTTCAAGGCCAGCCTGGTCTACAATAGCTAGTTCCAGGACAACCAAGATTACACAGAGAAACCCTGTCTCAAAACAAATAAAGAAAGAGTGTCTATCTATCTGCCTGTCCATTCCCTGCCCTCTATCCTGAACCACCAGCTTGCCCATCCCTGAGAATGATCTGTCCACTGCTCATCTGGATCTCAACTTTCTTCTTACCACATGGTATCTCCAATGCAATGACGTCCTCCCTTTAAATCAGTTTTTCACTTTCTCTTAAATCATCTGTTACCATCCAATAATGTGTCGATACTTTCCATCTCTGCTTTCCCATTCCACCTTACCCTTCCTTCCAGATACTGCCCCTTAACTGGTTCTATTTCACAGATAACTTGTCAAAAAAAGTCATCTAGTCATTATCCCCATTTTCTTATCTTTACTTTTTTTTCGAGACAGGGTTTCTCTGTGTAACTCGGTAGACCAGGCTGACCTACAACTCACAGACATTCGCCTGCCTCTGCCTCCCAAGTGCTGGGATTAAAGGCATGCATCACCAACACCCAGCTCATTATTCCCATTTTTAGCTACATAATAAGTTCCTAGTTTGAGGCCTACCAAAGTGAGGCCCCAAATACATGGCTGTTGACTGAAGTAATCAATTAAGCAATCACACCAACAAGCTTTTTTTAGAGGAAGGTTAATTTAAAAAATAAGGATTGCATTTCTTTTTTTCTAAATGAAAAGAGATGCTGTGGATGTAGCTTAGTGGTAGAGACTTGCCTTGCTTCTGCAAGGCCCTGGGTTGAATCCATAACCCCACAATAAAAGCAAAATGAAAAGACGCAAGAATGAACATTGTGATGACCTATTATTTAACAGGTATGCTTAAATTCCAGCATTGGTGGGTTAGAGATGCGCTATAAAAGAACAACGATGCCAACAGAGTACAGCATCCCTGGAGAGCTGGCTGGGAATGCCCATCTAAACAGGGATGATGCTTGACTCTAGCCAGTAGGCATTGTGAGGGAATGCAAACCCACTGGCAGTTATTTCTACTTTTCAAGAGAATGTAGAAATTTAGATTCTACATAAAAATCTTCTGATTTTTAAATGTTGGCAATGAATTTTTTAAAAAAAATCAAAGATTACTTGTTTCAAAAATATATTCACATGAACTCTGCTAGTCTAGTTCCCTGTCCAGAAAAGCACTCTTGTTTTTAGTTTCTGCAATGTAAGACGGGAGAGAGCTGTCATTCTCTATGTAGGCAGGTCTTGGCTTTAGAGTATGAAGGGTTTCCTGACATTGACCCCTTTCTCTTGAGAATAGTGCATATCACTCTGGGAAGAGACAGAGGCACAGATTTACTGTGGGTACTACCTTTAGCTATTAGTATCATTTCTTCTTAATTCTTTGACAATTTTAACTATTGATATTTTTTAATTAAAAGAAATTGTTTGAGACAGGATTTCACTATGTAGCTCTGACTGGCAAGGAACTCACTATATAGACCAGACTGACTTCAAATTCACAGATATCTAGTAGTTCCTCAATCTGTTTGTTCCTGTAAAGTCGCCTAGTTACAGGTTAGATGGAACGGCTACTAGGGAGCTCAAGACATTTAAGATCTAGAGTTCTCAGCCTGCTGCCTTCAATCTGTATGGACAGGATGCCCAGAGGGTTTTGGGCAGTTTACACCTTGCCTAGCAGGCAAAGAAACCACCTCTCTGACATTTGGTGACTACTTACCTCTTGTTTCCCTGGAATGCTTCTGTGGAAGGCCTTTCATAGTCTACTGATAGTTAATGAGAAGATTTGGGAGACCTACATGATATACTCACCATGTTTTTTTCAGCAATATAACACTGGATGAATCTCTCTGGGTGTTCTTTCTTGAATATGTCAGAAAAGTTGGAGTTCTTGGTATCATCATCCAGCACAATAACTCTGTCATTTTCAAGGCCCAGTTTAGTTAGAGACAAACCACATGCTTTTTGAGTAGACATGTAGAACAAAAAGTCAAGTGGTAAAACTTTGTTGGGAGTACACTTAGATAAAAGTTACTACTTCATAGGTGTATAAATTATAATTGATAAATTTATGATTTACCAACAGTATCCTTCAGAATCACACATATGGTGGTTCACACCTGTAACTCCAGAACTCAAGAAGGATAGTGAGTTCAAGTCTAGGCTGGGCTGTAGTGAGACCCTATTTCAAGAAGCAAAAAAAACTTTCCCCAAACCAACTGACCCACCCACCCAAAACAAGAAGAAATTTCAGCATAATAAAGAGGAGGCAAAATTATCATTACAGCTTATAATAATCTGTCAAATTCTATTATTGTCTAGCAACTGGTTCATCCATAGAAATCAGGATAAATGAAGACTCCTGTGTATTAAGGAAGAAAATTAAAAAAAACACGATAATGTACATGACTTTAATTTTCCATATTTTTGCCTACCATGTCATCATCTATGTAAACAGGGCGTGAGGTCATATTTATATCCAATGATGTTGATTTGAGGTAAGTCCTCAACAGGGGGTGGTGGTATAAGAATCCTGTTGGACTGTATCTGGCTCTCAATTAATTTAATAATTGCATCTGCGCTTTCTTTTGGCAATGGCCTTCCATTCCAACTTTCTGCATCCTCAACATCTACTACAAAACAAAGCATATTTACTCCAGGTGCTTAATGAGTACCTTCCAGATAATCAGAAAATGACTTTCAGAGAAAAATCTGAATGGGAATCACAGGAATAAGGACTGCACATAGGGATCCTGGGATGGAACTGCAGTAAGAACAGCCTAAGAAAGGTCCCAAGGTTTTTGAAGGAGGCATGGGTGTACATACTAGTGAATGGAGAGTTTTATGAGGGAAACAAGGCTGAAAAGACAGACCAAGCAGAGTGACATTATGTTTATGAGTTTTTTCTTACCAGAAGCAACATTGGAAACCACGAAAGATTTGGAAGGGAAGTGAATGATCAGATGTACTATACAAAAATTGCTGTTGTAGTACTGTACTCACAAGAGAGTGAACAGGAAGCAGACAGACTCTTCATGAAACTGCTGTAGTTCAACAAAGATGATGGGGACTTAGTGACAGTAAGAAAGTAGAGAGAGAAGGAGGAGGGTATGCATATGAGACACACTCTAGTGACTGGATATGTAAGGAGGAATGTGAGGGAGAGGTGAAGGTTATTTAAGCATACAGGATCTGGCAGGGGCTCATTGGTAAAGTTGTCATTTACCAAATTGGTAGAATAAGAATAAGGCTGTATTTTTCGAGAGGAGTCAATGATCAGTGTTATTCTAAATTGTCTATATTACTTTTAAAAATGATGAATCATATCTTCCTCAACTACTTAAACTTGAGAAACTAAAATTAAGGTAGAAAATTCCAGATGACAATCTTGAAATGTGCAAAGAGTGACATCTTGCATTATGTCTCATTTTCTCCCTAGTTTTAACTCTTTATGCAGTGGATTAAGTGAATACAAATGTAATAATGAAAGAGAAAAACACTTAGTGAAGCTTCACTACTTCAGAATGGCCATACTAACTGTATAGAAGTTCTGTGAGATATGTAGAGTTTGGGACTGGGAAAGTACGTAAGTGGCTTCCTAAAACTAGCTGATGGTTTTATTTGTGAATTAATTAGAGTAAAATTATTTTATTTAAAAATAAATCTCTCTATCACTAGCCCCAGTTCCCAATCTTCTGTTCTCTATGTGTTCTTCCAGATGGTCTGGTTCTACACAAATGTATATACATATACCACCTTACTCATGGGCTTGCCTCTACATATAGCATACTAACCATATATATCCATCCCTGTTCCCACTGGTGAACAGTTCCACTAGCCATTCTCTTATAAGGACAAAAAAAAACATTGCTTACTTGATAGAAGTTTGACCTTCCCCTATTTTATTAATTTTGAAACACCCTTATTTACATATCCGTCCCCCCATTCCCTCGTCCTCTCATCCTGTCATGCTTCCCACCGACCCCCCAACTCACCCACCACCCAATCCCCAGGGACAGTGAGACACTACAGGGGGTATCATCAAAGTCCATCACATCATTTGGGGGAGGGCCCAGGCCCTCCTTTCCGTATCTGGGCTGCAATAGTATCCCTCCATAGGGAAAGGGCTTCCAAAGTCCATGTGTGACCTAGGAATAAACACTGGCTCCACTGTTAGAGGTTCCATAGACTGTCTTGGCCTCCTAGCTGCCACCCACATTCAGAGGGCTTGGTTTGGTCCAATGCTGGTTCCCCCACTTTATGACTAGGGTCTGCGTGCTCTCATTATGCCAGATCAACTGTTTCTGTGGGTATCTCCAGTCCTGGCCTTCCCCTCTTACCCTAACCTTATATTAACTAGTGAGGTCAAGAGAGAGATGCAGCCTCACATGTTACCAGAATTAACACTGTTCACTAAGGAAATCTCATTTCCCCTTTCTGTCTACTCTGCTCCATGAACAAATATTTTGAATACTCACAGGAAGGAAACACTTGACATGCCTTGTTCAGGCCTTGAAGGTCTTAGCAACTACAGCCGTGGGCTTGCCTCTCACTTGAGCTGTCTGTGAGAATACAAGGCATAGGGTCTTCATGTAACAGCCATCCACCACATAAGTATTCTACCTGTCATCAAGGAGGTTAAATTACAATGAAGAAGGAAGAAGGGACAGAAAAAAGGCACAGCAACAAAGGAACAATTACCCAAAGGCTTCACAACACTTCTGGTAGAGAGCAATGCAGTGCTCAACTGACATGGAGCCCGGTTCACATCAAAGATTGCTACGAGATTGCCCAGACTGTAGCAGGATGCATAGGCCAATGCCTCCCAGACAGAGACTTCTGTGAACTTCCCATCACCCAGAAGACAGAAGACCCAGTAGTAAGAAACAAGACCCTTCTGGGGCTCACTTGGGCCACCCAGGCAAATCAATTTCAGGGAGATTAAAAAAAACAAGGGCGAGACATAGGCATAGAAAGACACAGAGAGACAGAGAGACACAGAGAGACATAATGAGAGAGAGACTGAGACACTGGGAGCTACTTCAGACTCCAGAATGTCCTTAAGACTATTTTCCTCATCAATTCTTTCCAAGCTTAGCAGCTGAGAAAATGAAGTGTGAACTTCATGAGACAGACTTTACCTTTGACTATCATTCTCATTCCAGCTCTAAGACTACTTTAGTTGCTTCCTCTCCCTCTCCTGGTTTGTCAGTAAGCAAGAGGGAATGAGACAGCAGGTCCCTGAAACATATAAACACCTTTTTTCCAGAAAGCTCTATTTTTTTCACATTTTTTTCATTTTTTATTTTAATTTTAAATAGCTTGTTTTACATGTCAATCCCAGTTCCCTCTCCCTCCCCTCCTCCCGCACTCCCCTACCCCCCACCCTCCCACCCTATTGCCAAATCCTTCCACATAGGGGATATCTAGAGTCTGTCATTTCACTCTGGGTAAGGCTCTATTTTTTTTAAAGCATCCATCGGTACCTTTTATTTCTGACCTTAAAATTTATTACAAATCATCATATTAATGGGAACATACTACCTAGGGAGCTATGCTCCACCACAAACAGTATACTTCTGTGCAGCAGAGACATGAATCATTTATACCAATAAAATGCACCCTATACCTCATGAAAGTACTGTGAGTTCTAAAAAGTTGCTTTTTAAAAATGTTTTATTTATTTTATGTGTATGAGTGTTTTGCCTGTGTGCATGTCTAATAAAATGTCAGATCCCCTGGAACTGGAGTTACAGACAGTTGTGAACTGCCATGTAGGTGCTGGGAATCCAATCTGGGTCTTTTGGAAGAGCAAACCCTTAAGAAATGTTATTAAACTCAAGGTTGTCGTTGAGAGGCAATCATGGATGAAAATTTATAGCAGTGAGAAACGTGTGAATAAACTGTGAGAAATGAAACAAGAAAGCTGCTGGAGGGGTGGAGGAAACACAACTAAGTCCTTCCAAAGGGATTCTCTGAGTTGTAACAAGGCCTCCAAGGAGCAAGGTAGCTATCTCTTGAGATTCTATTAAAGATAAGCACCACTCCCAGAGAAACGGAACCAGAAGAGCTCTAGATTCGTGTTCACTACATACAGCAGAAGCTGCAGGAAGTCCCAGGTCTAAACCAGGCATTTCACTTGCAGTACTGCTCATCATAAGCGTTACACTGAGACCAAGAAAGAGACTGTGAACCAACCCAGTAAAGGACATGTGTTACTAATATCTGGGAGCTCCTAATACAAAGTACATGTTGTTCATTCCACAGCAAAACTCTGCAGGACAGAAAAAACAAAACTGTCTCAGAAAATATTATTAGTGCTCTAATACTCTAGTCACCAATTATATCCAACCAGAGATCCTAGAACAGTTCCACAAATGTAATTTATTTACTGCTTCAATACTTTGCAACTAGAACTTTCAAAACCATCATTGTCTTCTCAAACTAATGAGGCAAAATGAAGGGGTGGGCAGTGAAATGGATTTTCATAAGTGCCTTACGTGGCTTGGTCAAAGTACTTGCCAGTATATGCCATCCCACAGGCAGCCCATAGTCCTTGCCCAGACCATCCCATCCTGTTGCCACATTAACAAATGGTAGTCCCTGTAAGACAAAAGAGACCCAGTGAATATAGGAACAGCTGCAGAACATGGGCTTCAGGCAGATCTCTAGTATTGAGTGCAGGCTACTCCTGCTGACCCACTGGAATTACCCCTCCTATCCCACATCTTTGCCACATCTACAAAGTCTCGGATCAATGTCATAAGATGATAATGGGTCAGTCCTGGGGCCGACCCTAAATTGGAAACTGGGCAACAAAGATAAGGAAGATACCCATTGCCACAGAAACCACAGCATGGTGATGGCAATTGGAGCTTTTAGAATACAAAGGAAGGAACCTAAGTTCAAAATAGAAAATGTAAAGCATTTTCATAGCCTTTGGTCCAGCTGTGCACAAGTCAGTTGTAAAATCTTTTGGAGAATATGGGTTCGCAAAGAACTATAAACACAAAAGTATTTGATTATTCTAAGCAGTGCTAAGGTTGTGATTAACTTCCTGTAACTCTACTTTCCCTTATTCCATTATTTCCATTATTCTGTATACAGCAGGTTACTAGTATTCCATGGAGAGAATATGCTCCCATACAGAATGAAAAGCCATCCCAAAATGCTACTGCTTTGGTGGGTGACACCTTGCTCCTAAACTTCCAGACACTAAATTTATTCATTGCCACTATCCATCAAGAAAGCTGTATGTGCTGCAGATGCCAGAATTGGGGAGGTGGAGATACCCAAGCCCTTTGGAGCCCAGAAGATTATGAGTGATTCTGAGATAATGGACATTGAGCTACAGGATTTGATTTATGCTGCTGGATTTTGGGTTTTGTTTAGATTGTTTCTCACTGTTGGTAGAAGAAAGTATATAACTTTTTTATTTTATAGAATCCCATTTAAGAGACTTTAGTCTTTGAAAGAGACACTGAACTTGTGTTGGAATTCTTAAAGAATAGGTGACTTTTAAAGGTGTATTGTATTTTATGACATTAACATGAGATCTATGGTGCAAACAAGAAAGGAAATGTTATGGTTTAATAGTACCATGTTTGTGTCAGGTTTGTAAGAGATGCAGTATGCTGGTTAGTTTTTAATTGTCAGCTTGACACAACTTAGTGTCACGTAAAAAGGAACCTCAGTTGAAGAGTTGCCTCAATAAGATGGACCCGTTTCTGACTGGAGAGATGGCTCAGAGGTTAAGAGCAGTGGCTGCTCTTCCACAGGTCCTGAGTTCAATTCCCAGCAACCACATGGTGGCTCACAACCATCCGTAATGAGACCTGGTGCCCTCTTCTGACATACAGGTATACATGCAGGCAGAACACTGTATACATAATAAATAAATAAATCTTGAAAAAATTCACCCGTTTCTATGTCTGATACAGACCATCTTGATTGATGATTGATTGGAAGTCCAAGCTGCACCCCACTGTAAGCAGCACCATCCCTAGGTAAGGATATCTAGATTGTGTATGAAAGTGTATGAGCCAGAGAGGAAAGCAAGCCAGTAAAGCAGGTTGAGTTTCTATTTTGAATTCACTAAACGGCAGGATAGGCTGTGACCTGGAATTTTTTTTATTTGTTTTATTTTTCGAGACAGGTTTGTCCATATTGTTTTGGAGGCTGTCCTCGAACTCACTCTGTAGACCAGACTGGTGTCGAACTCACAGGAATCCGTCTGCCTCTGCCTCCCGAGTGCTGGGATTGGCGTGCGCCGCCAACACCTGGTTTGTGAACTGGAATTTAAAGCCAAATAAATCCTTTCCCCTCAAGTTGTTTTTGGTCAGAGTGTTTCATTAGCAACAGAAAAGTCACCTAGAGTAACAAGCCCTGCTCTCAGATGTCTTACATGTCCCAGGAACAAAGACCTACAACATCTATGCTGCCTCCTAGCTGTGAAGCAGAAGGCAAATCAGTCTTGGGCCTTCATCTTTTGGCAAGGAGTCAGCGCCTCCACTCAGGAATAGGAGGCTATAGGACAGATTGAGATTATGGGTGGGGTGCCAGTAAGAAGCCTGATATATCATAGGGTTCAGAAAAGGTTTCTTATTCCACATTTCTATTAGATAGGATATTTTTGTAGCTCAGTCTGGCCTGGAGCTATGTAGCTTAGGCTGACCTCAAACTTTGTAATTTTTCTGTCTTGGCTGTCCAAGTATATAGATTACAGGTATGTGTCATCTAGAGGCAGTAGGTGGTTCCAGAACGTAGAAAATGGAAGATAATGGCAGGTTCAATTCACCTTATAACTTCAATAAGTACCAAAGAACTGCATGATAAGGACCTCCCACGGAGCCTTACCTAGTGGTGGAAGTACTTGTGGCCCTGATGGAACAGATTCGCAGACAGCTGGCTATGTCTCACAACACCTGCACCGTCTTCTCATCAGGCCCAGCGTTGCGGGCCATCCCAATGTTTGCCTCGGTTTCTGACATGCTACCAGATCATTGTACCCCGCAACACTAAATGGTTACCTCAGGCCTGTGACTCAGTTAAAAAGACCTGGGATTCTCTGCTCTGGCACGGACTGATTACTCCGCACATATGCCACCCACTTATGCCTCAATTCTTCAGGTCCATTCCTCCGCCACAAGCCCGTGACTCAGTTATAGTTTATTCCGGTTATGTCTCTCCCTTCAAGTACATACATACATACATACATACATACATACATACATACATATCCCTCCACCACACATGTACTCTTTCGTTGTTGCACATATAGCCTTCCACGGCACTGCACATTTAGTTTTCTGTTGTTGCATGCGTATCACTTCACCATAGGTATCCTTCCGCTTTCCACATATGTGTATGCTTTTCATTATACATTTACCCGTCCACCACATGACTAAGTACTGCTTCAGTGTGGCCATTTCAAAAGAATTTTGAATATCTGTCACTTGCATTTTCAGTTCTATACAGACTATTACTATTTCATTTTATTTTTCCTTGTATTATCAATTCATCAAAGGGAATACCTCTATGTTCAGGTACAGTTTTTCTTTGGGGGCGATGAAAAACAAGTCCCGAAATTAGAGGGTAGTCGTGACTGGAGATGTAGAGAACACAGTGAACTTTGTGAAACTGAAGCTCAAAATTTAAAATAGTTGTAATTATGAACTTGATATTCACAATTTATTACCATATTAAAAAGTAAACCCCAGAATTCCAATGTTTTTGGGTGACTACCCCTCTAGTAGGTTTCTTAGCTGGTGTGGTGAACTGGCCATCTTGAGACTTTAAGACGTTTCTGAGCTATTTTCCTTTCTAGAACTTTCTGTCCAACAAGCCTGGAATGACTGTTTAGTCCAAAGCCGGCCTGTAATTTGACTGCAGAGCCTGACTTGGGTAAGTTTCCGCTATAGTAGAATGTGTACTTTTGGTCTATGTTTTCCCATAAAGATGACACTATTTATCTCAGAGATTTGGGATAACCGTTCACACCAGTAGGGCACCCAGTGGTGTGCGGAGATTCAGTAACATAGGAGTCCAAATGCAGTATCTTGACTCAAAAGTTATGAGTTTCTCTGTAAGAGTTCCAAAATTGTCACCCCAGTGCCACTGGACTTTGTTGTTCTTGTTAGGTTAAAAGGTATCTGCGTTTAAATTTTCAGTAGATGCTGCCTGATTTAGCATGGTAAAGAATCTGAACTGATCCTATTTGCAGAGTATGTGAGTATTCCTTTCTTTACATTCTCATAACTACTGGATATTATTAGCAGTTTAAATTTTTCACAATTTGATGGATCAGTGAATGGTATTTAATTAATGCTTTGATTCACAAATTGCTGATCACTTCATATTTTTAGTGTTATTAATTTTTTATTTTTATATGTATGAATTTTTGCTTGAATATATTTATGTGCGCCATGTATATGCCTGGTGCCCGAAGAAATCAGAAGAGGACTTTGAATCCCCTGGAACGAGTTATGAATGACTGTGAGCCACCTTTTGGTCCTTTATAAGAGCAGCAAATGCTCTTAAACCTGAGCAATTTCTCCAGCTGCCTTCCAAAATTTTTCCTACATTTTAAATAAAGTATTTGTTGTTCATTAGAAGTTCAGCCTATCTGAAGTATGTGATACTATCTTTTGATGTTTCATTTTAGTAAGGTTGTTCTTAGATTACTAATTTGAATGATTTCCTTAAATATGATGCTATTTAGCCCTTTATTACATATATTTAGTCTTTACCCCTTAATCTTTATCTGTTTTTACTTTTTAATGGTAAGGTAGATATTTTATTTTTAAGAAAAAATGAAACAAAACCTAAATTTTATCTTTTTTCCCTACCATACAGTAGGTTATAAGAGTTTTCTGAGACAGGGTTTCTCTGTGTTGTTCTGGAACTCTGTAGATCAGGCTGGCCTCGAACTCACATAGATTCATCTGCCTCTGCCTCATGAGTACTGGGCTCAAAGACATGTGCCACCACAACCTGGCAATGATATTTTGTTTTTTGTTTCCTTCCCACAAGAGTTTTTTTTTTTTTTTTTTTTTTTACGAGACAGGGTGTCTCTGTATTGTTTTGGAGGCTGTTGGTCCAGCCCGGCCTCGAACTCACAGAGATCCGCCTGCCTCTGCCTCCCGAGTGCTGGGATTAAAGGCGTGCACCACCACCGCCCGGCATGGATTATATTATTTTACATAAAGTAAAGTATCATTCTATTTTTTCAGTAGCATAAGACCCTAATTTAGTATTTTTCCCAAAATTTTCTTAGCTATTTTGCATTGTCTCTTCTAAACTTTGAAGTCAGGTAATTTAAGACTCACAAGATATTCTCACTTGGCTTTTTTGTTCATTTGGTTGGTTTTCTTTTTCCTTTATTTTGAGATAGAGTCTCACTGAGTGTCCCAGGCTGACCTTGAATTCTTTCTGCTGCCTCCAAAGTTATGGGATTGCAGGCATGTGCCACCATACATGGTATTGTTTGATTTTTAACTGTCATTTCATGGAATGTAGAAATCAGTATATATATGACTGGGATATTTATAATATTAAGTAATCTCTTTAACATCATGATATGTATGTAGCTATTTATAATTACATTTATTAACATCCTATTTTGTATTCTCTTTTTTTGTGGTGATGGAGATCAAACATTCATCAGTCACATAAATCCCAGGTAAGCCCTCTATCACAGAGACACATTCCCAGCTCTTAAAAAAATCATTTTTAGTGTGTATGTATGTTTGTGTGTAGGTCAAAGGACAACTTTGTGGAGTTGCCTCTCCTACCTGTTTGTAGGTTTGGGGGATTGAACTCAGGTCTGTAGGCTTGCATGGCAGGCATCTTTACTCACTGAGTAATCTTTATGATTCCTCTTGTAGATTTTTTTAAAGACCTGGTATCAGTAGCCTAGGCTGGCCTGGAAATGGAGATCCTCATGTCTCAGTTTCCCAAGTGCTGGGCTTACAGTTACCACTAGGTCATGCTTTCTTGTTTATATTTTTTATTTACACTGATATTATTATTATTACTATTAGTATTATTGTTGTTGTTGTTATTTGGATTTTAGAGACAGGGTTTCTCTGTGTAACAGTCCTAGCTGTCCTGGAACTCCTTTGTAGATAAGGCTGGCCTTGAACTCACAGAGATGGTGTATGCTACCACTACTTGGCTTACACTTATTATTATTATTTTTTGATTTTTCAAGACAGAGTTTCTCTTTGTATCTTTGACTGTCCTAGAAATAACTCTGTAGACCAGGCTGTCCTAGAACTCAGAGATTCGCCTGCCTCTGCCTCCTGAGTGCTGGGGCTACAGGTGTGCACCACTATGCCTGGATTTATTATTGTTATTATTATTATTATTATTATTATTATTATTATTATTATTATGTGTATGGGTATATGTGTGTGTGCATGCATGTGCTTGCTGGCACATGAATGCAGGAATATGTATTCTATTGTGCATGTGTGAGTGTGAGAGGAAAACTTTCAGTAGTTGTTTCTTTCTGCTATAAGTTCCCAGTATCCAAGTTTGGTTGTCAGGCTTTGAAGTAAGAACTTTTACCCACCAAGGTATCTCTGCCAACCCTTACCCTGATTTTTTTTGTTTTTAATTTCCTTATTAATGATTTATTTATTTTAATTTCATATGTGTTGGTATTTTGCCTGCATGTATGAGGGTGTTGGGTCCCCTGGAATTACAGACAGTCGTGAGCTGCAATGTAGTTGCTGGGAATTGAACCCAGGTCCTCTGGAAGAGCCATCAGTGCTCTTAACTGCTGACCCATCTTTCCAGCCTCCTTTCTTTGCTTTTTAAATAGCAGAAGCAGGGACAGTTTATTTAGAGACAGTATACTTCCAAGGGAGAGGAAGCAGATCAGAACATAGAAAGTTTAATTCCTTTTCCTTTTTATTTTGCATTGTGTTTGTTATTTTGTTTGTTTACGTTTAGATTGAACTTTTCTTCTCTTGATTTGAAACAGGATCTGTTGTGTCCTATGTGGGCCTCAAGCTGGCTGAGGCTGAGGTTGAGTTTGAAGTTTATTCCTCCGTCTTCCCCTTTTTGGAGGTGCTGGAATTAAAGGCCTATGGTCCTCCATCACGTCATTTTAAGCAATGCTGGGATCTAACCTAGGATCTTTATTGTGTTAGATGGCACCTCTAAGCAACACCCCCAGCACTTTTTAAGCTAATTTTTTGTATGTGGGGGGCATTCGAGTGTTTGTGTATCATACACAAAGTGGAGGTCAAAGGATAACACAGTGGGAATCTGTTATCATCTACCATGTAGGTTCCAGGAATGGAACTCAGGTCATCAGGCTCGATGCCAAGCATTGTTACCCTAGGAGCCATCTCACCAGCCTGGTTTAAAAAATATATTAATTTATTATTATTATTGTGTGTGTGTGGTGGTATGTATGAAAGTCAGAGAACAATTATGTGGAATCAGTTCTTTTTTTTATGTGGGTTCTGCAGATTTAACTCAGATTGTCAGGTTTGTATAGCAACTGCTTTTGCCCACAGAACCATCTTGCTGGCCCATGTTTTGTTTGCTTTTTTAAAGTCTTACTATGTGCCCCTAAACTCCTGGGCTTAGACTGAGTGACTGGAAGTACATGTGTGTACCCCCGTGTCTGATCCCTTTCTTTTTTTCTGGACTAAGCAAGTTCCAGTTTTTTCTTCTTGATTATTTGGATGTTATGTATTTGGTTTCAGTTCTACTAGTGGTTAGTGGTTACTTTTAAGTGTGTGTGTGGTGTGTGGTGTAGTATGTGTTGTATATATACATATGTGTATGCATACACTAGTGTACACATGCAAAGACCAGAGGAGGCTGTCAAGTTTCCTGTTCTATCATCTCCACCTTACTCTTTGATACCAGGTTTTTCACTGAACCTACACTGGTGGTCAGTAAGCCCAAGCAATCCTTTTCCTACTCTCCCACAGCACTGGGGTTACAGGTACAAGTATGGCCATTCCCAGTT